TTGAGAAACAGGAACAGTGTGTGTGTGTGTGTGTGTGTGTATGTGTGTGTGTGTGTGTGTCGCGCGCGCACATCTGCTTACAAGCAGGTCTGTGGAAAGCCATATTGTAGATTTGCTCCTGGAAAGTGGATCCTGCCTTCTCCAGGACTTCTTTTATTCCCTTTGAAACTAGGTGCCAATACATTTTCTGATGCATTCCTTTGAGGTCAGTTTACTCTGCAGCAGCCCAGGCAGTGAACACAAAGCCAATGAGTGCTTTACAAAGCAGAAAAGCAGAACTTTGCATGTCCTTCCCAGCACCCAAGAGCTTGACAGAGTTAGGGAAACTTTAAATTCCAGAACCTGTTATTGTACAAGATTTATCTCCAGGGCTTTCCTTGTCCCTTTTGTGCACTTTCTGCTTGCTTGTGTTTTAATTGTCTAGTGGGCAGTGTGGCTGAGACATTTCTCATTGTAGCTTTGTGGAGAAAAATGGTACAAGATCTCTTTATTTGTTTATCATGTTTGTTTATTCTTTCATTCCTCCGTTGTTGCTCCTTGGTAGTGTTCTGACCCTCCTCCTCTGCTTAGAACTGGGTGTGTCCAGGGTCTCAGGCTTAGGTCTTCACTGTCTACATCTCCTGCCTTAGTGATCTTAGCCCCTGAGTGGAAGATCCATATGCCAAAGTGTGTATTTCCACTGAATCTTTCCTCCCAGAGTCTAATTTGAATATTGCATCCATATTCAGATATCTAGTAGACTTACCATACTTCTCATGTCTAAAATTGAGCACCCAGTTTGTATGCTGCCCCCTCTCATCCTTATTACCTCCAGGATTTGTTTATTTTTGTTATAACTAGTGAAAACTCTGTTGCTCAGGCCAAAAAACTTAGTAGAAGTCATTAGTGTCTCAAATTCTCTCATACGTTACAGCTGATCCAGTGGAAAGTCCTGCCAGTGCTACATTCAGAACAGGTCCAGCTAGTGGTTGCCTCATGCCACCTGAAGCTTGGAATGTCTGTCCCCAGCTGGAATGCATGGGTCAGGGCAAAGAAAGACCTGTAATGTGAGCTTTTGCCCCGTCTTACTTATCAGGCCAATCTGGGCTCGCTCTCTGTTCTGTTTTTTCCTATGGCCACATATGGCTAGCGGTTACTGGGCTGGAGCATAGGGAGAGGACATTCCACCATTGCAGCAAGTCCTGTTGCCATTGCCCTACAGAAGAACTTGCTGTTTATCATGTTTGTTTATTCTTTCACTCATTTGTTAGAATGTAATTTTTCCAACAACTCACATCTTTCTCTTTTTATTTTCCTAAAACAGTGCTTGGCACAAAGTAGGTGATTGTTGTATTCATTTCAATGAGAGCAATTACCATTTCATTTAAAGTAATTAGAATATTTGGATTTATTCTTCAATCCACAAAATTAAAATCTTATTTGTATTTTGTGAATGCATCTATGTGCTAGGCTTGGCACCATAATAAGTTTTTCATATAGCTTATTTAATTTAAGCGTACGTGTGTGTGTGTGTGTACGCGCGTGTGTGTGTGTGTGTGTGTGTGTGCGTGTGCGCGCACGCGTACGGACATGCATGAGTGCGTGCTAGTACTAGGACTCGAAATTAGGGTCTCACTTGGCTAATTTGCTCATAGCTGATGCTGTGCCCCTTAATCTACACCTTCAGTTCCAGTGTTTTGCTGGTTAATTGGAGATAAGAATCTTGTAGATTTGTCTGCTTGATGACTCAACCTTGATCCTCAGATCTCAGCTTCTTGAGTGGGAGGGCACCTAGCTTTCATCTAATTTTTGTAATAGCTGTGAGTCTGCATGTGCATGTGTATCTGTGTAAAGTCACCATTTTAAACATTAGCAAAAGAAGGTGAGAGGTCATCAAGAACTTATAACTGGTTCATGGTAGGGCAGAACGTGAACCTGGGGCATCTGGTCTCCAGTGGCCAACATGTAGCCAGTGCCTAGACATTCTGAGCTTGGGGTCAGTTTTGGAGTTAGGGTGAAATCCACCCTTCTACTCAGCTACTCATAGGGGATTTAAAGTTAATGATACTATTTACCAAAAAAAGGTGTTATGCATAGTGGTGAGTTGTCTTGGCAACACAGACTGAGTTTAAAAGGATCAATTTTCACTTAAGATCTTAAATTTCAGTAAATTAAAAAATTACCCATCCAAAAATCGTGATGTGACATGCAGTCTTAAAGTTGAAGTTCGTCATCAAAGATGTCACTGCTGCCATTGGAGTCCTGCCTGCGTATCGTTGGCATTCACCTGCTTTCTTCTGAGTGGATGGTACATGTGCCACATAGAATCACTTCCTGAAAACTGTCCAGATTGAGCAGTATTAGTTAACTTTGTTTCTCCAGGTTCTTTGTTCCTGTTGTTAGGGGGGAACAGTGGCATTACTCATTGATCATAATTGTGATTACTGGTTAGTTATCTTTAGTCAGCTGGAATAAAGGTGACACATGTCCTCAATGATCGTTTCTCCAGGTCCAGGCCCCTTCCAAAGGCCTTGTCTTTCAATCGTATCAAAAATTCTGTGAGGGCCAGTGTTGGTAGCTCACGTCTGTAATCCTAGCTACTCAGGAGGCTGAGATCTGAGGATTATGGTTCAAAACCAGCCCGGGCAGGAAAGTCCATGAGACTCTTATCTCCAATAAACCACTAGAAAACCGGAAGTGGCACTGTGGCTCAAGTGGTAGAGTGCTCGCCTTAAGCTGAAGAACATAGGAAGAGCACCTAGGCCCAAAGTTCAAGCCCCACGACTGACATAAATAAATATAAATAAAATTTTGTGAGGTAGATAACTATTCAGTCCTTTTTAAAGAAAATTCAGCGTACGGCCTGGCTCCTAAGTGAGTGGCAGTCTGAATGTTTCTCCCCAACCCCAGTGCATGGGGAGAGATGGAGGAGCTCTGGAGCACTGGAAATGATGCAGGCGGTCTGAGACGGCGGTGCTAGAAGTACCAGAAGTAAAGAAGGCATTCTGAGATGGTGAGGTTAGAAGTACTGAAAAAAAAAGGTGTTCTTAAAAGCACCGGAAGTGAAAGCTGAGATGGAGTTATAAGCACCAGAACGGAAGGAGACATTCTGAGACGGAGTTAAAAGCACCAGAAGTGAAGAAGCCACTCTGAGGCCGAGTGGCTTTCATGGCTGGTGACTGCATGCCCTCATCCAGTAGACCTCAGTGCTGTTGTTCACACCGCACTGTCACCAGGCCAGGACACCTAGGCAGTACCAGTGCTGCTGCATCCCCTCCCAACCTCCTGGGTACCTTCATTTTGTTGGTTTGGGAAACAGCCTGGACATTCTGTTATTTATTGGCATACATGAGTTGTACAGAGGCTTTCATTGTACATTTTCACACATGTGTACAATGTATCCCAGTCCCCCTTCTCAAACAGGCTTCATTGTTCTGTTTTCATACATACAAATAGATGACTGTATTCATTATCCTTCACCCTCCTCCACCCAAACCTGTTTTCTTGTCATTATTTTATTTATTTATTTATTTATTTATGTATTTTTGGGTCCGGTCGTGGGGCCTGAACTCTGGGCCTGGGCGCTGTCCCTCAGCTCTTCAGCTCAAGGCTAGCACTCTACCACCTGAGCCACAGTGCCACTTCCAGTTTTTTCTTTTTTGCTTATGTGGTACTGACTAATCAAACCCAGGGCCTCGAGCATGTAAGGCAAGCGCTCTACCACTGAGCCACCTTCCCAGCCCGAGTGTAGTAATTTCATCGAAGAGTTTCACTGTTACATCAGAAGTGCATAAATTATATTTTGCTCAGAATAACCCTTTCAATTGCTTTGTATTCTATACTAGGACTTTTAAATGTCCTTTAGGTAATTCTCATGTAATAGGGATCGAGAACCAGAGGTGTGAGCCACCAGTTCCTGGACTTACCTGCCTGCTGGCTTCCTTCCTGGGACCTGAACCCTTCTACAGGGTGACTCGGGTGTCAGAGCTGCAGCTTTCATTTGGTGGATTGGGAGCCCTCTGGTTATGCAGGGGTTCTCATGGCAGTTGTATGCTGGAATCACCTGAGCATCTTTCATGTTGCCCTGGCTGGCACAATTCTCTCTCTCTCTCTCTCTCTTCTTTATTGTGATTAACTGATTACATAATTTCACAAATTTCACAGTATTATGGGATAGTGATGCTTAGTTAAAGTCACAAATGCATTCTAACTTTCATGGGGCAAGTTGTCTATTGTGGTCTATGAAGTTTATGAGTTCTATGAGCTTTGACAGTACAGTTATTTCTTCCATATCAGGTGATATGTACATTCCTTTCCTTTTGCATAGGGCCAGCTGTTCCCTCTTTCCCACTTGCTCCCTCCCTCCCATCGCTGCCTTTGAGTTGTTTAGTTTGTTTTGATCAATGTCCAGTGCAGCTGATGGGTCCCACTGTTGTATGTTTTCCCCTGATTCCCGCTAGTTCTGTGTCCTCCTCCTGGTTTCCTCTAGTGTGCACATATATACCATATATGTGATCAACAGCATAGGGTTTGGCATGACTCTTGAGGAAGGGTTCTTTGACGGTGTTCTTCCTGGTTGTAGGTATACAGCTCCCAGATGATTCCAGGATAAAGCCAAAGGCAGAACTCCTACTCTCTTCTTTCTTCTTTGTCCTCCACTCTTATTCTCCTGAACCTGGAAATGAGCACATTAGTTTCCCAAGTCAAGAGACTTGAGAAATGTATGGGGCGATTTGTCAATAAGGGGCTTTTCCTGATGCAGGCATGTTAAGTCCTTTTCTTAGACATAGCTGAGTACATACCTAAGCCCATGGTGAGGAGACATGTTACCTGACAACACTAGTTCTGCCTGTACCTGGTGCATTTCATTGGGGAGAATCTCAGAATGAGTTGCTGATGATGGCTTTTTTTTCCATATAATAAGGCCATGCCTTCTCAACCTTCTTTTTATTCTTTGTCAAAGAATCACTAAGAATCTTATTGGTGACAGTCTGTGTGTTCTCTCTCTCCCTTGTCCTCAGGAGTGCCGGGTGTCCAGGCAGAGCGCTTCCAGGAAGGGCTGGAGGTGAGGCACTGTGCACTGTCCCTGGTAGGGGAGCCCATCATGTACCCTGAAATCAATGCATTCCTGGAGCTGCTCCACCAGTGTAAAATCTCTAGCTTCCTTGTCACGAATGCACAGTTCCCCAAGGAAATCAGGTGGGTCATCCAGCTGTCATATAGGGTCTGTTTAAGTGGTGTGCTTGCATGGACCCTGAAATGATTTACTTACTTAGTACATACAGTACCTTTGCTGCATTTTGAGAGGTAGATGTGGGCCTACTCCCTACCTCACTGTATTAGAAAGGAGAACATTGGTAAGAAGAATAGAAATGAAAACAAATTGCTAGGGGAAGTCAAAGGTGAATGCTAAGAGTGGGTAGTGCTGAATACCAGGGGGATTGCAAGTTCGAGACCAGCCTGGGCTACAGGGTGAGCTTCCAGAGGAGAGATGTATGAAACCACAGGGAAGCCTTCACCCTGTCTGATCTTTTTTTTTTTTTGTCGGTCGTGGGGCTTGAACTCTGGGCCTGGGCGCTGTCCCTCAGCTCTTCAGCTCAAGGCGAGCGCTCTACCACTTGAGCTACAGCGCCACTTCCGGTTTTCTGGTGGTTTATTGGAGATAGGAGTCTCAAGGTCTCTCCTGCCCGGGCTGGCTTTGAACTGTGATCCTCAGATCTCAGCCTCCTGAGTAGCTAGGATTACAGGCATGAGCCACCAGCGCCCGGCTTACCCTGTCTGATCTTATGGTGTGGCTGACGTCAGTACTTTGGGAGAGGAAGGAACGTTTTAATAAGAAATGTGGAGTTAGGGTTTTTGTGACAGTTGTCCTATTAATATAGTTGGTGTGGCCCAGCAAGGGTAAGAAGGAGACTGGCAGTTGGAATTCAAGTTGGAAAGGAAGACCTTGCTCTCGTGTGCACATACTATGCTGCCCGTGGTGCAGAATGGGAGAGAAGTGGCAGAACTTGGGGAGGAAGTTGTATCTATTCAGGCATGGAAGGTTGGAACCAGGTAGTGAGGCTGAGGCTCTTTAAAAGCTGCTGTGGAGGCTGAGGTTGTATGTGAGACGCACAGTATCAGGTGATGTTGACATGGAGAAGACAGAGCACAGTTTTTCAAATCTAGAATCCCCCATGGACATCGAGGGCCAACTGTACGGTTGAAAAAAAACCCTAAAAATAAGCATAGTGAGACCTTCCCTCTCAACTGGTCTGTGTCCTAAAACTCCCAAGTTTGTGTCTGGACCTTAAAGAGAAACAAAATCCTCAGGATGTCTTTGCTTTTCAACAAATGTTCTCATGACTTGAGGCCTCTCTGAGGTTAGGGCTCCCTCCTTCTCCCCACTGGGGCCAGAGGGAAAAAGGCTTGTACAGATCAGCCCCTGTGCTTTCTGCTGTGCTGGTCTCAGACCAAGGCTGGATGAGCTCCACGTAGGCTTGTGGAGGTTGGGTGTTGGCCTCATGTTGGAGCACCAGTGCTGTCAGCAGGTCAGCTCCTTCAGTTCACCTGAAGGGCAGCTCTCACCACCACTGTCTTACCAGCTTAGTAAACTTGGTCATGGGCTCTGAGCAGCTTCCTGAGTTTTACATGAAGGAAAAGTGTGTTTGCTATAATTCTGCCCGTAGTCTTTTGAGGAGAATCTTGGCCTTTCCCATTGGTTCTCCCTTGACATACTGGCAAGGGTTACCCTGGGCCTGGTGGCCTTTTCTGGTACGTGGCTTTTGCTAAGCGGCTTCATGCCTTTCAGGCCAAGCCAGTATTTGGTCCACAGAGGCTTTGAGTAGTGTGGCATGAAGTATGTACACTTGTGAAAAGAATCTAGTCAGAAGACTTAGATTTGGGCTTCCTTTTGGGCTTGCAGTCACAATCTGCATTTCTTGAATCGCCTTGTTCTGGGTTTCCCTTCTTAGGACACTGCGCTAGGCAGTGGCTGGGGCTTTATTGATGTTGTGCGTGTGGGTTAGGAGAAGGGCTGTGGAGCCCGGGGGAGGCCTGGATTTCATCACTGGTGATGGCTGTTGTCTGTGACCATTGCATAAGCAACTCGGCTTCTTCAGAACCTTGGTTGTTCGTCTCCATGACAGGCAGAGGCAGCAGTTGTCACACTGTCATACTGAAAGGATTGGTGACCTGCCGAGGGTGGAGCAGGCTGAAGGTGTGCCAGCGTGCCGTGTGTATATATATACCGGTGTCCTCTCTGTGCCCCCCACCCCGTGTCCCCCTCCACTCCAGGCCCCCATTCCCCCCTTATTATCCTCTTCCCCCCCACATCCCCTTCCACCTCTGCCCCTATCCCCCTCTACCCTGGTCCCCCATCTCCCCCTTCTCCTCCCCTTCCCTCGCCCCCTCCACCCCCATGTCTCCGTCAGCTGCTAGTCCTAAGTTATTTGGTCTGATGTGACAGCCCTTTATTGAGTTTTAATAACATCGGACGTTTGGGCTGTTCTGGTTATTTTTTTGTCTTAAGAACTGAATCAGACTACTTGGATTTCTTGCAAGCATAAATCTCTCTACTTTATTTTCCCTTTTGTAGATGTGTTAGTTATCATTCTGCCTTTCAAGCTACTTTTTTGGGGGGGGTGGTAGGGGAAGACACGATACACTGAGGCTTAATCTCTACAGAAAGAGCAAAAGGAAGAGGCATTTCTTTATTTTTTGCTGACAGTTTTTATTTTAGACTGGATGGCCTAGTAGCAGTAGGCTAAGACTTTTCCATCTACTGAAAGAGGGGAACAAAACCTCATTGTGCAGAGTAGCAAAAGCATGGTGTCTATACCCTTCAAAGTTAAGGTTAGATAAACCATGGTTGCGACCCCTCCCGACCACCCTCCTAACCTAAGGAGGGATTTCTATGTACATTTTGAGGATACCGTTCTACATGATCATTCTTTGGCAGTTCTGGGCCTTGCACTTGCTAGGCTAGCATGATATTGCTGAGCCAGGCCTCTAGTCTAGCTGCTCATTCTTAGCTCAAATTTGAAATCAGCAGACAGGTTATCACAGTAACACGGAATCATTGGACATTTTTACTGGGCACTGGGTTTTTCATTTCCCAGATACTGTCCTTTTCACTTATTCTCAGCAGGGACATAGGAATTATCATGGTGCCATTGATGACAGGGCATTTTGCTCTTTGAAAACAGAAATGCATCTCTGTTCAGAAATGATGCATCTCTGTTTAGACGGATGGGTATGCTACTGGGGCCTCGGTGCCTGTCCTGTGTGAGCAGAGGCCAGTTCTAGGCAAAAGTAAGAGCCCTGAGCATTAGAAGATCTCTGCAAGTCCCTTAGTGGCTGCTGAGCCCCTTAGAGACCAGCTCAACTCCCCTAAGATCCTTTCTTCTTCCTCTTCTCTTTTCCTGCTTCTCTCAGACCCTAACATGGCTCTTTTTCTGTGTCCAACATTTACAGAGTAAGTGTGACTTTTGGAATTTATTCCTCTCCTTTGAGCATTAGCTTTATACCAAAATGTAGGTTTCAGGTGATGGTGGCCCACAGTGACCATCCAGACAATCTGTATTAGGTGATTACTGTCTGTCATGAAAGAGGTGCTGACCAAAAAAAGGGTGATGAGAGGCAGGTGCTTCTGTCCCAGATGCCTTATGTGCATTCTGTGTGGCTCATGCACTGGGCTCAGCCGTCCTGAACCATTTCCTCTTAAGATTCCCTTGTATCAGTACTGCAGAGGGGGCAGCACTGAGCTCGGCCTCTATGGACCACTTTCTGTTAAGTTCCCCCAATCCACTACTGTGGAGGGGTGGCACTGGGCTCTGCTGCCATGGACCACTTCCTGGTAAGGCCCCCTTATCCAGTACTGTGGAGGGGGTGGCACTGGGCTCTGCTGCCATGGACCACTTCCTGTTAAGGTCCCCTTATCCGGTAGTGCAGAGGGGGCAGAGAAGTGGGAGCTGTCAGATTTCTCTGCCCTTTTCTGACTTTGGTCAGAGCTTAATGAATGGGTACAGGTTATTGGGGATGGCATTTAAGCATTTAACTTAACAACTTTAGTAACTACTGGTGACATCTGGGGGTTTTCTGTTTGTCAAGGAGCTAGATTATGGCAGATGTTTGTTTGGCCTCTGTTCCCCTAATATTTCCATCCATCAGTTAACAGTATCCACTAAAGATGGTGAAGTACTGCCTGTCTGAGGATAAAACCCTGGCCTGCCCCATTTTAAATGGCATGTAGTGTGAGTCTGTGTTTATATTCATGGAAGTGTCAGTCTAGGGATGAATGTAGGGCAGATTGTGAAGTAGTTACAGGAACTAATGTGAAAATTTGGTTAGAGGCTTTTTCTTAGTATTCTTGCTTGGCTTTCTCCTGGGTTTTGAACTCAAGCTCTATACCTTACACTTTCACTCAGCTTTTTTGCTTAATGTTGGTGCTCTACCACTTGAATCATGCCTCTAATCTAGTCTTTTTGCTATCTAATTGAAGATGAAGTGTTGCAAACTTTTCTGCCTGGGCTAGTCTCAAACCATGATCCTTAGATGTTAGCCTCCTTTGTAGCTAGGGTTCTAGGCACGAGCCCTGGCTTTAGAGGGGTCTTTTTTTTTTTTTTTTGCCAGTCCTGGGGGTTGAACTCAGGGGACACTGTCCCTGAGCTCCTTTTGCTCAAGGCTAGCACTTTATACAACTTGAGCCACAATGCCGCTTCTGGCTTTTTCTGTTTATGTGGTACTGAGGAATTAAACCCAGGGCTTCATACATACTAGCTAAGCACTCTACCACTAATCCACGTTTCTATCCCTAGAGGGGTCTTTTTTGTTCTCTTCTAGTTAGTTGTAGACTCACTGAACAGAGTATAACTAGGATACCTACTTGAAAAGCAGAGGCTTTGGAAATGAACCAGCTAGATTCAAATATAACATGTAGAAAATGTGATAGGTAGAAATGAAGCTATAAAATGAGTCCGTGATTTTGGAGTTAGACTTCATTTTGTTTATTTACCATTGGAAACATCCCTTACATTGGAACAGGGATTAGTTTTAACTAATGAACATGTGTAGTTTATTAGAGATGACATTCAGTCATTGAAAAAGCAGACAAGGATGTTGCGTGTTGTCACATTGTTGTATGGGGAAGCAGAGGCCTGTAGAATGAACATAACATCTGGTCACCACTGTTTGTTACAGACTGCAGATTTTCTCTCACACAGAGCCTGATCTAGGCATAATTTCTCTTTCTCTTTTTTAATTACCAAGAAACCTGAAGCCAGTCACGCAGCTCTATGTCAGCGTGGATGCTAGCACCAAAGACAGCCTGAGGAAAATTGACCGCCCACTCTTCAAGGATTTCTGGCAGAGGTTCCTTGACAGCTTGAAAGCCTTAGCTGCCAAGGTAAGAATTACGACGTGGCAAAGAGAAGGAAACCAAGGAGGAAAAAAAACAACAGACAAGTATTTTTTTTCCTGCTCTTTTCTCTTTAAAATAGAGTGAACAAAATCTTCATTTTAAGGAGTCATTTTAAGGAGTGTGCTGCTCATGTCTGCGATCCAGCCCTGGGGAGGCTGAGGCAGAGGGTCCCCAGGCCACCGCCAGCCTGGGTGACCAAGTGAGGCTCTCAGTAAACAAAATACAGTTCAGACAATCTGCAGAGATTCTCTTAGCTTCGCAGCACTGCGTCTGATATGTAGATTCCGCTCTCTATGCATACTCCCAAGGTAACTAGCAAACCTAGATGACCAGCCATGGGTAGTTTAGGTTTAAATGTCAAGTTAATTATCCTGAACTTCTAGAGCCAAGTCTCTACCCCATGAGTAATGCTGCTCAGAGTGTCCCTTCCTTTTCCTTGGTCCTGAAGTAATCTCCTATCACATGAACCATCCTCCCTCCCTGCCCCTGCCCTTTTTACATTTTTAGTTGTTTTTCAGATAGGGTTTCATGTGTTTTGCTACCTTGGATTTTGATCTTCCTCATGTGTAGCTGGGATTACAGGCATGGGCCACCAGGCCCCCCTTGGCTCTCCTCTTTGATGAATACCACATCTTAGTAGTGGGAATGGTGGGTCCTGCAGCACAGTTCCCTGTTCTCTTTGCCCTGGCTTTTCTCTGCATTTGCCCTGTGCTGCTGTTTGGGCAGTTTCTCTAGACTGTCCTCCTTTCTGGACCCTTGTGAGCAGTCCCTACCACACTGCATGGTGGGAAGGATCAGCACAAGAGCTTAAAAAATCACACTTCCCTGTTGTTGGTGTCTTTTGTGTTAACCCTCAGGTGACGCTGTCTGGGCACCAGTGTGGAGGCGGTGCCCAGCACCTGGCTCCTGGTCCCCAGCACTCCTTTATCACTATCACCCTCACTGCCTGGCCAGGGACATTTCCAGACTCACCGTTCTCAACTTGTGCACTCAGTCTCCAAGGCTTGTTTTCTCCTGGTCCTCAGCACTCAGAACAGCATGTTTCAGCTGCATCAATTAGTGTTTTTCTTTAATTTTTTTGTTTTGTTTTGTTTTCTTGCCAGTCCTGGGGCTTGAACTCAGGACCTGGGCGCTGTCCTTAGCTTCCTTTGCTTAGGGCTAGGACTCTACCGCTTGAGCCACAGTGTTACTTCTGCTTCTTCTGTTTATGTGGTACTGAGGGATCAAACCCAGGGCTTCAAGCATGTTAGGCAAGTACTCTACCACTAAGTCACATTCCCAGCCCTTAAAAAAATTTTTTTTGAGTAGTCATACAAAGGGGTTATTTTTCGACATGTCAGTTTACAGGTACAAAACATCTTGATTAACATTCCTCCTTTCATCAATTAGTGTTTTCTTTAGCTGAGACCCAGTGGCTGGTAATGCATGGTGCCCATCTTCCTGATGGTTCAGTGCTGCCTAGCCTTTTCTTCCTTGCTCTATGCCTGAGAACATAAATCCTGCCTCTTTTGATTACTGATGTGGATGCTTTTTAAGAAAGGCAAAGGCACCACTTAGGTTTCTCAGCTGTGATGAATTCGTACGGTGGCCTTGTCTCCCAGCTCCCCACTTATGGCTGAGGCAGGAGACAGTATGGGAACCAGCAACAATAGATGAGCAAAAGTAGCAGTGTGGCCTGTCAGACTCCCCTGAGACTGGCTGTCCACACTGGGCTCGCCCTGTGACAGATGGCAGCTGTTAGAGACCGGCTCTATAGCTTGCTTTATTTCTTTGGTCAAGATTTTCCAGAGTTACTATTTGGATGTCTAGTCTGATTACACCTATTCTGGGTGGTCATGTACTAACTGCTGACTTTCTAACCCAGGAGCATTGTGACTCCTTGTAAGAGCAAGCTTTCATGTCTATACATCAGGGCAGTTGTTTCCTCAGCTTCCCCCCTCCCCCCTGCCAGTCCTGGGGCTTTAACTCAGGGTCTGGGCCCTGCCCTTGAGCTGCTTTTGCTCAGGGTTAGCACTTTACCACTTGAGCCACATTGCCACTTCTGCCTTTTTCTGTTTATATGGTACTGGGAATTGAACCCAGGACTTCATGCATGCTAGGCAAGCACTCTGTCATGAAGCCACATTCCCAGCCCTCCTAATCATTTTATAGCAACTTGAGTTGATGTTTCTCATTCTTGTATTGTTCATATTGTCATTTAAGAAAAAAGTTTGTGGTGGAGTCTGCTCTTAGAGGATTTTCTTCAATCAAGCCGTTACTTGCTTCTGAGTATGTGCTATTATTACAGGTCATAGTAGGTTCTATCAAGAAAGGATTGCTCTACCTCTGTTTAAGGCTAGACAGTCCACATGCTGTTGTAGCTGTTTATTAGCTGTTGTCAATCACATTGTTACCAAGTGTGATGTCATTTGAGTTTTTACCTTAGAGTATCTTGTTGAGTGTTTGGGCCTTGTGATATACTCAAGGAAGGAAAGGCATTTGATTTGAAGAAAGAGAATTTCACACACTTTATAAGGAAATTTGATTTATCCCAAGATTTCCTGTCTTTATGAGACATTTCTGTCCAGGGGAGAAGGATTTTGTGTTTTCACTCTTGGCAAGCAGAATGTTTACATTTCCAGATTTTTATCCTTTGTCAAAATATTCCCTTAATATGAGAAGAAAAGTATGATAGTACCTGAGTATGTGGGGCTAAACCACCATTCTGTCAAGGTAACAGCGAAACCCTTTCCTCTACCACACCTGCTTGTCAGACACTGCCTCAGAGTCTTCTGCACTGGTGATTATGCCCTGGTCAAGCGTAGCCTCTTTTTGAGGCAGTGTATTTAAAGAGATAAAGTAAGCGTAGTCACCTGCCTCAGAAATGGGCAGCAGCCCTCTTCTCGCAGACATTTGGGTGAGTGGTTGACTACATGGATGAGATTACTCCCTGCCCAGTATTGAACTAAACCAGAGTGGTGTGCCACCCCAAGCGTGTTAAATGGTCTGGCCTTCTCACGTCAGATTATAAAGCTATTGAGTAGTGATTATGGCAGTTTGGGTAAAGTAAGGAACCTGGAGGTGGTGACTGTAGTATTCGATGCTCTTCTGTTCATTTCTCTGGGGTGAAGGGTGTATTTTTGCACACACTTGTTGTTATCTTCACTGTGTTTATAGCATCATGTCACAAGTTTTTTTCTATACCGGTATATCTATATCTATATATAGATAGAGCTCTATCTATAGATAGCTATCTATCTGTAGACAGATATAGATAGATACATCTGTAGATAGATAATAGATACAGATCTTTTTGCCAATACTGGGGCTTGAACTGAAGGCCTAGATGCTAGATTTTTGCTGTCATTTTATCACTTAAGCTACAGCTTTTTTGCTGGTTAATTGGATATAAGAGTTTCATAGACTCTCCTGCCTGGGCTGGCATAAGTTTGAGTTTGGGGTTTGTATAAGGTTGTGATCTTCATACCTGTGTAGCTCTGTCTGTTTTGCTGCAACACTGGGGTCCTGTAAGGTTTCTTTTGTCTTGGTGTGTGTGTGGGGTTGGGGTGGGAGAACAGAACATAAATGGGACATTCATAGACACCAGTTATGAAGGTAATGTGGTGAGCCAGCAAACCCCTGTCACGTGGTAATTCAGAAGCATCCCAGAATTCATATTAGATGAAACTACAGTGAATTGGTGAAAGAATCCCGCTCAGAGACACTCACAATTGACACAAAGGTGAATCACCTCATTTGGGATTCTTATTAGTGGCATCTGACTGAGTTTTCAAGTAGTGAGGGTATTAATTGAGTCAGAAGTATCTTTCTTCCTCACGGAAGTCTGATATATGTGAGAGAAGAGCTCAGCATTTGACTTTAATTCTGCTGTTTGGCCGGTCACTGGAAGCTCACGCCTGTAATCCTAGCTACTCAGGAGGCTGAGATCTGAAGATTGTGGTTCAAAGCCAGCCCAGGCAGGAAAGTCTGTGAGATGCTTATCTCCAGTAAACCACTAGAAAACAGGAAGCAGTGCTGTGGCTCAGGCGGTAGAGCACTCGCCTTGAGCTGAATTGCACAGGGACAGCACTCAAGCCCAAAGTTCAAGCCCCACAACTGACAAAAAAAAACCAAAAAACAAAAAAACTGCTGTTTGTTTTATAGGTCACAGTTACAGGAACTCCAGCCATCACATTGGCATTCCAACCTATGTTTTGAGTTGGCACTATAAGGAAGGGTTAAGAATGGAGTAAATCCTTTTTTATTATTGTTGTTGTTGTTCATGGGGACTGAACTCTGGGCTTGTGCGCTGTCCCTCAGCTCTTCAGCTCAAGGCTAGCACCTACCACTTGAACCACAGTACCACTTCCGGCTTTTTTCTGCTTATGTGGTGCTGAGGAATCAAACCCAGGGCCTCCTGCATGCGAGGCAAGCGCTCTACCACTGAGCCAACTTCCCAGCCCTGGAGTAAGTCCTTTTATGATGATTTGTATAAGTCTTTCTTTTACATCTAGTTCCTTTACCACACTGGGCCAGAGGGAGGCTGGGTGTGCCTTTTAGCCAATATATCGTTATGCAGGGCTCCTGCTGATCAGTGGTCAGGGAGAAGGGGGACTGGCAGATGGCTAGCCATTTACCAGCAGTGGATTTACCATTGATTCCAAAAGTTAGGTAAGAGCTGGATATGCCTGAGAAATTGGGAGGAAGGGAATAGTAAAGATGAAAGGAGGACTTAGTTAATTTAGCTAAGGAGAGGAACTTACATTTGATCTGCAGAAGGTTACTGATGCTTGTTACCAGAGCGTCTTGATGGTTTGGTGGAGACTGAAGGCAGGTGGCAGGTATTGGTCAGGACAGACAAGAAGTAGCATGTTGGTGAGGGGCAGGAGGCTGTAGGAAGTGAATGGGGGCTGTTAGTTATTGAAGGGTGGGAGATTTGAACAGGGGCCGGTAAATGAGGAGGCAGAGGTAGAGATAGATGGCCTTTGTACATCTCAGTATACATG